AGAAGCCCAGAGAGAGGCAGGTGTACGGGGCCTGCAGATACATGTTGACCAGGCGGTTGACCGCAGCCTGCACTTCGGTAGAATAATTCTGATGAATCTGGGAGCTCATGCTTGACGGCAGTAAGGAGCTGAGCTCAAAAAATCGGTGTTGGTTGGTCCCGCCGGAGGTAGAGGATGGCTGAGCTGGTCCGAAGGCTACAACTGGAAGAGAGGTTGGAGGGTGGTCGGAGGCTGGAAGAAGGGGGCGTCCCTGGGTCTGTTCCGTCCAAACACTGTTGAAGCAAGAGACAGAGCCGGGGGACGCCAAGCGCGCTGCCTTTTTTGGGTTTTATAATTTTATTTGACAACCAGCCGTTAGTCTTCCTCCACACTGCCTGTAGATTTCTGCAAGTGGTGACGGGCACACAGGTAGCCAATGTGGATCGCTTGTCTGGTGAATCTCCAGCCTCGCTACGTTTTCTGGACGTACGGACGGTCCTCACTTCTTCGGCCGGGCAGCTTTGCTGAGCCTGAAGTCGATGCACACGTCTGGAGCTCCCACCTCCTTCATGGCAGATTTCTGAACCTCTCTCAGAGCCCACAGGGCAGGCTTCTTGAAGCCCACTCCGTGGATGCGCTTGTGAACGTTGATTGTGTATTCTCTGGTCACTATCTCGCTGATGGCAGGCGGCCCTTTTGTTCTATACCCTTCGTTCCAGAGCCATTCTTCTGGGCCCAGGTTGGAATGACAGTAGTTGTCTTTTTGTGACATTTCACTGAGAGTCATGTCCTCAAGGTCCATCCATATAGTAGCAGGTGTCAGAATTTCCTTCCTTTTCAAGGCTGAGTAATATTCCATTGGGTGGATGGACCACATTGTGTGTATCCATCATCCGTCCATGGACACTGGGATTGTTCCCACCTTTTGGCTACTGTAACTGGCGTGGTTTCAAGCACTTTAGAATCTTAATCCATTCCATCCTCAAAACCAACCCATGAGGATGACTCTATTATTCCCACTTTACAGATGGGGACACTGAGGCACTGAGAGGTAAGATAACGTGCCCAGAGTCACAGAGCCGGGGTTCTGGAGCCGGGCAGTGCGGCTCCAGAGTCCCCATCATGATCACTGTGCGCCCCTCCCCACCGTCTTTCTCTGCAGCTGGTGTCTGAGGATGTACGTACGTTTGCAGACCCTGACCCACCCCGGGACACCAGCCTCGGTGGTCCCGTCCAGCTCAGAGACTCCAGCTCTAGCTCTAACAGTAACTCAGCACTGTACCACCGTAAACCCCTCTACAAGCTCCCACCTAATCCTCACAGCACCTCCGATGGGCAGGGAGGAATCACCACCATTTTGCAGTTGGGAACATCGGGGTCAGGAGAGGGTTGCCTGCCCGAGGCCATTCTGCGGTTTAGGGGCAGGGCCAGCAGCGGACCCCCGGCCGCCCTCGCTTGGCATCCTGTGCACGAGCTTTGCTTCATAAACGAACGGAAGCTTTAAACCCCTTCCTTCCAATGAGCCTCACACACCTGCACTGCAGGCAAATACTAAACCAGCCCACAGGCAGGTCTGGCCCAACTCCCGCTACTGGGGGAATGGAATTCATGGCCCCCCCAGTTCCTGCCTCCAGCCCACCTTCAGAAGCAGGGCAGAAGACATTCCCATTTTGAAGAAGGAAAAACCAGAGGGCAGGGAGCCCCCACTCTGCAGACTTGCTGAATGATCCACTCTGCATCAGTCAGCTACTGCTGTGTAACAAAGCATCACAAACTTAGCAGCTCAAAACCACACACACCTTGTCTCAGTGTCTATGGGTTGGGAGTCTGGGCACGGCTTACCTGGGGCCTCTGCATAGGGTCTCTCAGGAGGCTGCAATCCAAGCCAGGGTTGGGTTTTATCTGAAGGCTCGACTGGGGAAGGATCAGCTTCTAAGACCACCTACGTGGCTGGTGGGCTTCATTCCTTGCTGGCTGTTCCTTGCCATGCAGACCTCTCCAATGTGGCGGCTTGCTTCAGAGCCAGCAAGGGAGAGAGTGTGCCAGCAGGACGGAAGTCACACTTACACGGCCTGATCACGGAAGTGACCTCCACCACCTCTAGTGTTCTGTTGGTTAGAACGGCCGCCAGGCCGGCCCACTCTCAAGAGCATGAAGAGCCAGAGCCGGGACCCTTGGGGGCTGTTTCGGGGTCTGCCTGCCACAGGCAGGATAAGCAACAGCGTATCAGCCCCGTGGGCTCTGCAAGGGGACAGTGCTGTTTGCTAAGTGCTCGCGTGGGCAGGACACCCTGGTCAGCTGCTTTGCGGCCCCCGCGTGGTTCCGTGTCCTTAAACGACAAACTGAGGAAACCGAGGCTGCACAGAGCTGAGCCGCCCAAGAGAAGCCAGGTCAGGAGGGGTGGGGCAGAGATCGTCCCCAAAGCAAGGACGCCTGCCTGGTACCCCCCGCACAGACGCGGGGGAATCGGCCCCGCAGGGTGGAGGTGCTCTGGATAATGACGGGGTCGGTGAGTCCAGAGTGAATTTCGGTTTCCACCCAGTCTTAACCAGAAAGGCTGGATGGGTGAGGCCCCGTCTCCACCCCCATCTGATGCAGTGCCCAGACTAGACGAACTTTGGCTGGATGGATGCTGTTTCCTGGCCCCCTGGGGACCCCCAGGGAGCCTTCGGCTACCCCCCTGGAGTCTGGAGACCCTCGGGCACTGCACGAAGTTCCTCCTTTTCCACGGGAGGCAGACGGCACCACAGACTGGGGTCTATGCAAGTCACGCAAATTACACGCATTGGGGCGCCCCGACCCGCCACGGGCCGGCTGTGCTTCCCAAAGTGACGTCTGGGAATTTGCTGCTCAGAGTCATGTCTTTAAGCCCTAAGGGACCTAAACACCAGACACCATGGACGGGCTGGCCCGGGCCACAAAAGGACAGTCACAGACCCAGCACGGAAACCTGAGAAGGTCTGACCGGCCAATGAGCTGAAATTCATTGAAATTTTAAAAGTGGAAATTACTGACCAGAAAAAGAGAAAGATAAAAAAGGATGAATCATATCATGAGTTGTATCTCAATTTTTTCAAAATTAAGTTAAAAACAAAACAAAGACAGAAACGTGCCCCTCAGTGTCCGGAACGAGGTAACAGAAAGATGAGCGGGCCACTGAAGGCTCAGAACGCGGCTCCTGGGAAGGAAGGGAGGGCAGAAGGGCCCTCTGTGGGGCCACACTGCAGACCCCGAGGCTGTACAGGTGGCAGCAGGAGCAGGACGTCACCTCCAGGCGGGGCCCGAAGCCAGGCAGCATCTCGGGATGCACGAAGGGACAGGAGACCCCTCTGGGCCCATTCTGGCTGCCCGGAAGCTTCTATCTCATTGCAACGAAAAGAACCCGAGTCCAGCTGAGCCCCAAGATCGGAGCAGCCTCTGAGGTCACACCAGAGGTTTGTCCTCTTCCCCCTGAGGAGCACGGGCACAGGCAATGGACAGAGAAAGACACGAGCGCCTAGAGAGGCCGAGGCGCCGGGTGACCACCACGGCTGGGGGCCCTGCCAGGCCTGAGCAGGGACACAGCTGGACATCAGGGCGGTGGGGCGTTATTCCCTTGGACTGACAGCGGGCACACATGACACGACAGGGCTCCTGGAGGGCGCACACGGGTCCCACCCGCCCCGGGGACCAGCCTGCGCACCAGGCGTCCTGAGCCCCGGCCAGCGGCCGCAGCTGGGGCACCAGCCTGCCTCCCCGGCTCCTCCCTGCATGCGGCTGGCTGGCCTCTGTCCTGGGAACCCCTCTCGGGTTCAGGGGGGCCGCACAGGTGCCCCTTGGTTAACACGACCCACAGCAGAGAACTTGGCTCAGAGCGGCCACGGCGGGGAGCACAGTTCACGGAAGCCTGGACCTCAGGCCACCGTCTCTGGGGCCCAGACCCTGCTCCAGGGTGGCACCTAGTGGCACAGAGCGGCACTGCCGCCGCAGCCCCCCAACCCGCTCTGGTCCCCCGCGGGTTCCCCGAAGGCCCACCGCGTGGGGGTTCCCAGCCAGGGGCACCTGGGAAACACCAGCAGAGGGGTCAAATGGGGTGGCACGGAGCCTCGGGGGGCCCTGGGGCTCTCTGGGGAAGGGGACGCTGTGCCCACGGGCCCTTGCAGGGCATTTTGAAGGCGACTACGGCACGCAGCCCACTCAAGGGGGCCGGCCTGCACCTGACGGTTCACAAGGCGGCAGTGGAGAAGGGCCGGGGCAAGGATGGGATCCCCATTGGTGGCTCTGGCGCCTCAGGGCAGAGCTGGCTCTTGATCCCCTTCCCCCGGCCCCCCGTCGGCGGGCCTGCCTCCCCCAGCGCCCGGGGGGCTCCCCAGGCCTCAGGGAGAAAGCAGGGCCTCAGATTTCACGGCTGTCGCCTTTACTGCATCCGGGCACCGGGCCCAGCCACGCTCCCCCCAGCGCCGCCTGCAGACCCACGCGTCCTTGAGCTGGGTCACCTCCTCAGCTCCGGCCCTGGCGCCCAACCCCAGGCTGCGGCACAGCAAGGGCGTGGGGGATCGGAGAGCCGGGCTCACGGGGCACCTCCACCGCCGACGCTGGGGGAGCCGCCTCCCGCCTCTGGAAGACGGGGTGCGGGGTGTGCGGCAGAGGCCCCTCCAATTCCGAGCCCGGGGTGTGCCCGGGGCACTCACAACCCCCGCACCCAGGGCTCCATGCGCTCCTTGCTGAGCCAGGCCCTGGACTCGACGGCTGCCGCCCCGCCGCCCCGCCGGGCGTGCGGCCTGTGTCCACTGTGGCTGGTTCTGTCTTGGTGGTCCCGACCCCCGGCAGAGGTCTCCGAGTTCCCGAGGCGCCGCTGGTGCAGGAGAGAGGGGCTGGGCGGGGCGGGCGAGCTGTGCAGAGGCGGCGGCCCGGGCAGCCCGTCTTCCCGGGGCAGAGCCGGGCCACGCCCACCCTGGGCCGGGAATCCCTGGTCCCCGCGGATCACACCCCAGCCCCGCACTCCTCCCGCCTCGGCCCCAGCCGGGGGCTCCCCAGGGCGGGGCCGGGGTGACAGAGGGGCCGGGCCCCTAGCGGAGGCTGCACTCCACGCCCTGCAGCTTCTCCTGCTCGATGGCCCGCACCAGGTCCTGCACGAAGCGCATCTCGGAGGCCAGCTGCTTGGCCAGGGCCTCGTAGCGGTTCTCGAGGCGGCTGAAGCGGCGCTTGAGCCCGCTGGCCCCCAGCAGCGCGCCCTTGGCCTCCTCCTGGGCCTGCCGCCGCAGCGCCTCGGTCTTGTGCAGTTCCTGCCGCAGCCGCCGCAGGTCCTGGCCGATGCTCTCGTGCTCCTCCCGGTACCAGGCCTCCTTCTCCTCGTAGATGGCCGTCAGCGCCTCGATGTCCTCGTGGAAGAGGCGCCGGCTGTGCTCCAGCCCCCGCAGGCCCTCCTCGGCCGCCGCCACCTCCTCCAGCACCTTGGAGAAGCGCTCGAAGTTGATGTAGGTGTTGTTGGGGGGCATGCTCGAGTGCGACTTGATGGTGTACTCCTTGAGGCGGGCCGTCTTCAGGCGCCGCCGCTCCGGCTTCCTGCCGCTGTCCTCCCGCCGCACGTTCCGACGCCGGATCGCCTGCGGGGCAGGGGGAGCACGGCCTGGTGCGGGGGCCAGGAGGCGGAGGCCCACTGATGGCCACGTCCGGCCCTCCACTTGCTTTTATAAATAAAGTTTTATTGGCACACAGCGGTGCCCATTCGAGTACCTATGGTGCGTGGCGCTTTCTGCTACAATGGCAGAGCTGACTAGCGCCAGAGACCACAGAGCCAAAAACGCCAACTCTCTGGCCCTTTATAGGAGAAGGTTGCCAACCCTGACCCTGGCCTATAGGTGAGCCCTTTCTAGAAGTTTCACAGAGGGGCCATGGACTCCAGTCCCCCGCCATCCAGGCCCACTCCCCTGGGGACCCTCCCCAGACGCTGAAGGCTTGTCACACCTGCCATCCTTCAGTGGGAGCAGCCCCGACCTTACCTTGATCCAGGAATGCTCCAGGCTCTGGGCGATGGTCATTCTCCTCCTGCAAGAGCCCCCGCCGTGGTTAGTCACACGTGCGCCAGCAGCACCGTCCTCCCCCGAGGCTGGCGGGAAGAGCCAGGCAGAGAGCAGGGAAGGGCTGTTCCAGGCTCTCCCCGCAACAGCTCTGCTCTCAGCCCCCGCCTAAGGCCAACTCACAGACCCCTGCCCCTGGGGAGCCCCAAGCCCCTAAGTCACCCTCAGCCCAGGGACAAGTCCCTGAAACCACCCTGAAACCACATGCAGAGAGCACCCACTCTCCTGAGCCACCCAGGAGGAGCACAGCAAGGGGCCTGTGGGGCCTCCGTGTTCTCTGAGGGGTTCTGTGAACGGGGTCGAGACCTAATGCTGGGGTCTCGCAAACTCAGGCACCCACGGGAGGGGCTGGGTGGGCGACAGGAATGGGTGGCGCTCGCCGGGGGAAGACGGCAGCCAGCGGGGGCACCTCCCCATGAATGAGGGCTCCGTGTTGCAGGAGTTGTAGATTTTTTTCTAGAAAAAGTAAAATAGCTATCTAGAATTTTATGTGACACCTCCCATTTTAAAGATTGACAACACATTAAAAGCTTCTTAAGACCGGAGTGGGCCAACGGAAGTCACCCACTGCTGTCTCCAGCCCACAGGGAAGCCGTGCCTGATTCCCAGTGGCAGGGAGGCGGCGGCTTGCAGGGACGTGTCCTCGGCCCCCAGGCCACCCCCGAGCCCCGCGGCCCAGCGCCCCTACTTGGGGTCTTTGACCAGGAGGCGGCGGATGAAGTCCTTGGCTAGCTCGCTGGTGTTGCTGAAGTACTCCTCGTCGAAGTCGTAGTTCACGGCCGAGATGTTGGTCAGCGTCTCCTGCTTGGTCTCGCCCAGGAACGGGGACGCGCCGCTCAGGCTGGAAGGGGACAGGGGCTCAGGGCCCTGCGCTCACTCCACCAGGCCGCGGCCGGGGGACCCCCCAACTCCGCCACGGAGGGGGCAGACGCAGAGGAGGCGGGCGGGGCCGGGCCACCCACGCACCCGCATTCCCCTGGAGCCCCCCATCCACGTCCTGGCCGCCAACCAGGAGGCAGCAGGAAGTCATGGCCCAGCCAGACGCGCCGAAACGAGTGGGCCAGTCTCTGCGGAATCTCAACTATCTACGTAGACTCACAGTCTCAGAGCATTTGGGTCTCCCCCAAAACGTTCACTGATTCTGGGGGGCAAACTGGGAACTTTCCAGGGGGACTCCTGGCTGATGCCACCGCGGCGCACGGTCGGGGCGCCCACTCCCCATGATGGCATCGGGTGATACGCTGCACCGAGGCGGCCACACCACAGCCCTGGGGGCTCTGGGCGGGGACCCGTGACTCATGGGGAGAAGCATATACTGGGTCTTCGTCCCGTCCTCGGGCACATGGCTCCCAAACCCTTGTAATTTCCTAAGCGATAGGAGCTCAGAAAGTGGGAGCGTCTTTGCCATAATATTCCATGTTTGTCCTGGATTCTGAAACAGCTCCAGGCTGACAAAGGTGCCGGGAGTGTCTTTTTTTATTCATAACAAGCTCCTTCCAGCCACACCTGAGTTTATGTGAATCAGGTGACTTCTGGAAAGCCCTAAGGATACGGCTGGTGGCCTGAGGAACCAGCCATGGGACTAGAGGGATGGAGCGCTCAGCCTCACTCCTGACCTCTGATCTCCAAGGAAGGGAGGGGCTGGGGTCGAGTTAATCACCAGTGGCCAAGGATTTAATCAATGGTGCTACGTGACGGAGAGTGGGGTTCTGGGCTGAACACAGCCACATTGGGAGGGTGGCGCGCCCCCAACTCCACAGGGACAGAAGCTCCTGTGCTCGGGACCCTCTCAGATGTCACCCTACGTGCCTCTTCCTCCGCTGTTCATCTGACTCCCCTATCTTATTCTCTGTGATAAACTGGCTCGTAAGCCAACTGTTTTCCTGAGATCTTCGAGCTACTCTAGAGAATCACCCCACCTGAGGAGGGGTCGTGGGAACCTCCAATCTATAGCTGGTGGGTCAGAAGCACAGGTGGCGACCTGGACTTGCGATTGGCACCTGAAGCGGGGCCGTCCTGAGGGGCTGAGCCCTCCCCCTTTGGGGTCTGCGCTAACTCCGGGCAGATGGTGCCAGAACTGAGCTAAACGCAGGACACCAGCTGGTGTCGGAGCTTCACTCACGTGAGCGAGCCTGGACGGGGCCTGGCACCAGAAAGAGGACCCCAGTGGGACACCGGTGGAATCTGAGCGACCCCGGCCCTCTGCTGGCTGGTGTGCCCCAGGTTAACCCTCGGTGGACGAACGCTGTTGGCATCAGACGTTAGCGTGGGGGAAGCTGAGTCAGAGGGCACGGGGCCTCCGGACTGTTCCTCCAACTCTCATGCAGGTCTAAACCGATCCCCCAAAACAACACTAAAACTGTTTTAAAAACCCATTCCTGAAACCTGCAGGTCTGAGGGCCCCGCCCATTCAACAGGAAGGGATAGCCCACTCGGTGCCATCTGAGAACGTGACCTCGGGGTCAGATCTTTTTCGCACAGAGGGGCCGAGCTGCTGGCCAGCGGACGAGGGGGAGGGAGGACACACTGTCTCACCCGGGAGGGGGCCGGGCCTTCTGAACTCTCCAGAAGCCCCTGAGACAGGAACCACACCTTTCTCTCCTGCACAAACTCATTCATCCCCTCATTCACCCACTCGTCCCTCCAGAGTTCACTGAGCACTGCGATGGGTCAGAGAGACACAACATGGGTCCCGCGTGAAGCAGACAGATGCCCCTGTGCTCTGGTTGCTGTCCCCGCACGGAACCCTCCCCGACCCCGAGGGCCCAGAGGGGCGGCAGGGAGCGGAGCAGGTACTCACAGGATGTACGTGATGACGCCGATGCTCCTGGAGAGAACACATTAGAAGAGACGAGGATCAGCTCGGCCAAGGGGGCGCAGCACCCCGACCCCCAGAGTCTCTAAATGGCGGGGGCCAGAGCCCAGCTTGCGGGCCAAGTGGGCAGCACGGGGCTGCAGGGCCTCGGGCCAAGTCCCTTCCTCCCACCCGCTCGGGTGGACCTGGGACTAGAAACTTGAGCGGCCCTGGCCGCACCTGCCTGGCAAGGCTCAAAGGGCTGGGGGCGGGGCAGACAGAGCATTACGGCCCACAGACCACGCAGACGTGGGGCCCTCTGTGCTCACAGGCGGGGCTGGCAAACTCTTTCTAAAGAGGGTCAGACAGCGAATATTTCAGGCTTTGTGGGCCATCAACCGTCTGTCACACATTCACCTGTTTTGTTTTGAACAACCCTTTAAAAACGAGAAACCATCCCTAGCTCACGGGCCTGCTCTGACCCGTGGGCCGTAATTTGCCGACCCCTGTTCTAAGGCTACAGCCCGTCCTGCCCACGCCCCACGGCACCAAGACCACGAGGGCAGGCGGGGGGGTCCCCCGAGGAGCAGGATGCCGCGTCCCGGGCGTGCGGGGCCCCCACGCTGCCCTGCACTCACCACATGTCCGCCTCCAGACCCAGGGGCTCATAGTTGACGATCTCGGGAGCTGCGGGGACGGGGGACAGAAGGAGCAGGGTCAGGCGCTGGAGCGTCTACGGCGGCACTGGGGACGCGGCCTCGGGGCGGCACAGCCCCGCCGCAGGTGACTGGTCCCCGAGGGAGGGCAGGCACTCGCGGGCAGGGCCAGCTCTCGGGCGGGAAAGCGGGACGGAAGCACCAAGCCGAGGCCCTGAGCTCCCGCGGACCCGACACCGGGGATGGGACGGGGAGCCCGCGGGCGGCGGGCCAGGCGGCCAGGGCCAGTCGGAAGTCCTCCAACGCCCTCCCCAGCGCGCCCCCGACGCCCCCGCGGGCTCACCCACGAACTCCGGGGTGCCAAAGATGTTCTTGAACTCGTTCCCCGCTTCAATCTTGTGGGCGATGCCGAAGTCGATGAGCTTGATCCGTGGGTTCGGCACATTCTTGTCCAGAAGCATGATGTTCTCCGGCTGGCGGGGGGGGGGAAGCGGGGTGCTGGGAGCAGGGCTCTGCGGCTCCTGCCGGCCCGGCGTCCCGGGAACAGCGCCCCCATTCTCCCCCTCGGCTGACCCCACCCCACGAGTCCAGGCCTGAGCCGGTGCGTCTCCCCGGCCCCCTGGGCAGCGAGGGTCGGGGGTGTGCATTCCGGGCCTGTGAGAGCCGGACCCCCTCCTCCCGGTCCCGTCCTCACCCGCCCCGGCCGGGCTCCGGCACCCCAGGGGGCCCCACTCCATCCTGAGGCCCGCGGGGCTCACCTTGAGGTCGAAGTGGGCGATGCGCTTCGAGTGCAGGTAGTGGACGCCATCCAGGATCTGCTTGAGGAACTGGGTGGCCTCGTCCTCCGTCAGCGACTCCTTCTCGGCCAGGAAGTCGAAGAGCTCGCCGCCCGAGACCAGCTCGAGGATGAGCACGACGTCGGTCCTGTTCTCGAAGATGTCGTGCAGCGTGATGATGTTGGGGTGCCGGATCTCCCGCAGGATGCTCACCTCCCGCTCGATCTCCTCGCGGCTCACGCCCCGCCGGCTGGACGACAGGCGGCGCTTCTTGATGAACTTGGCCGCGTACTCCTTGCCCGTGCCCTTCTGCCGGCACTTCCGCACGATCGCAAACTGGCCGCTGCGGGGCGGAGGGGAGGGGACGGGAGCGGAGGTGAGTGGGGCAGCCAGAGAGACCCGGGCCACCACAGCCTTCTTGGGCAGCGCCGGCCCAGCTCCTGGCACTGTGCAGACGCACCATGCCCACCACCTCCGAGAACGTTCCTGAAGGTGTCCCTGTGTGAGTGCAGAGGCCCATGATATAATGGCCACCTGGCACGTCTACAACAGCAAAAGGATGGAAACAGCTCGATGCTGATCAAAAGGGAGCTGGAATCCATCACGGTAGGTCCAGCGGAATCTTACACAGTCATGAAACGCTGGAATCTTACACAGTCATGAAAAAGAATGAGGCGACTCTCCGTGAGCTGACAAGGAGAGCCATTCCTGAGGACCCGCTCAGGGAAAGAGCTGCAGGACGACACGCAGAAGATCTTTCTGTTTGAAGAGGTATAGGCTGTACCCACACGCACAGATGTATTTACGTGAGTCTGTGCAGGAAGAAAGGTCTGAAGGCCACAGGCCGACCTGTTAACTACAGACAGCTCTGAGGAGTGGGACTGAGGGAATGGGGCCAGGGAAGGGAGTTTACTTTTTATTTGATATGATTCTATACGGATTCAACTTTTCACAGCGTATTTCGTCATTTTTAAAAATCTAAGAAGAAAGAAAAAAAGCCATTGACTTCAAAAGAGCTTCTTATTTAATAGGAAAGGTGAAAGAAATACACTCAGTTTCAAAACAAGAGAGAAGAGTGAGGATGTGGAGAAATCAGAACCCTCATAACGGCTGGTGGGAATGCAAAATGGGGCAGCCACTGTGGAAAAGTCTGGTGGTTCCTCAGAAGGTTAAACATGGGGGCCGGCCCCATGGCGTAGTGGTTAACTGCACGTGCTCCGCCACCAGCAGCCCGGGTTCAGATCCCAGGCACGCACTGATGCACTGCTTGTCAGGCCATGCTGTGGCGGTGTCCCATATAAAGTGG